GGTTGGATGGTTCAGGTTGGATGAGTCTGGTTTGACAGCACTTATTGGACGGCTCTGGTTGGATGGTTCAGGTTGGATGGTTCAGGTTGGATGAGTCTGGTTTGACAGCACTTATTGGACGGCTCTGGTTGGATGGTTCAGGTTGGACGGCTCTGGTTGGATGGTTCAGGTTGGATGAGTCTGGTTGGACAGAGACAGGAGTGTTGTGTGTCTCCTGTAGTCAAAACAACAGACAGCTGCAGGATCTGATCTGTAGTCTGTTGACGATCAGAAAGAATTCCTGCTGCTGTTTCTGCAGGAAGTATCACAAAAGAAATTATGGAATCCGTCCAGGAAACTTGGCTGAGCTGTCCATGCTTTACGGCACACTCTGACACACACACACACACACACACTCTGACACACACTCTGACACACACACACACACACACACACTCTGACACACACTCTGACACACACAGAGACAGCGGAGCCAGCAGCGACGTGGCAGTCTGGACCTCACAGCTCTGCAGATTCTGCTCAGAGTTGAGGGAAATATTTCAGCTGTTGAGTCAGTTTTCTTTCCCCTCACCTCCTTGTGGTCTGGTTTGTGTGATCAGTGAAGTTGTCTCCTTATCAACAGATCACACCAACACGTGTCAGACATCAGACTGGGTATGAAGGATGATTTAAAACATGTGGATCAGCTGTTTAACACAATATTCCCATCAGAACCGACATGTGGAGCTCTGCAGCTCCATCCACTGAGGTCCAAGACCTGCAAAGGAAAGTTGGAAAGGATCTGCACATTTCTGGCCTGTGGAAAAGAACATCATGAAATTAGTTGTAAGGGGCCAGTCTGAGCTGGACCAGAGTGACCTTTGATCCCTCAGATGGTAACAGATCAAGAATTGTTGTTCATCAACAGCTGGTAGAATCACTTGGGCCAATCCAGAATTACCAGGAGGATGCTGCTTGCACCTAGAATAGTTTTTGGATGATGTTTGGATGGATGGATGGATGGATGGATGGATGGTTGGATGGATGGATGGATGGATGGTGAATAAATGGATGGATGGATGGATGGATGGATGGATGGATGGATGGATGGATGGTGAATAAATGGATGGATGGATGGATGGTGAATAAATGGATGGATGTTCGTCACACTGACACACTTCAGTAATGATGTCTGCTGAACCCCATGTGACCTCTGACCTCACTGGGTTTAATGGGTTTGGGGTCATGTATCGACACCAGAACAATAACATTTATCTGTTTCCAGGTCCTCTCTTTGGCTTTGTGAATGTGACCCAGAATGTGGTGCCGTCAAGTTTGGGTTCTGCTCGCAGACAGCGTTCTGCTGAATTGTTCCACATTGAGGTACTGGTTSTGTTCAAGCCTGAGGTTAATGAACAGCAGAACTAACTGGTCACTGGACTTTGCTTTGATCCTTCTCCAGGTCCTGCTGGCTGTAGATTATTCTCTTCTTCTGTTCCACGGACGAGACCACATTCAGAAATATCTGCTGACSCTGATGAACATTGTAGGTCCAACATTAAGACATTAATAGCTCACTAACCACTGGGATCTGGGTTGTTTTATCTGCTGCTGAATAATAAAGTGATTGGCTCTTCAGACCTGATGGTTTCTGTTAACTCCAGCACGTGTGAACTAGTGAAGTCATTTCAAAACACAGAACCAATACTCACATGGCTCATTCATGGTCTATTCCACCTGATCATCCAGGTTCTGCTCCAGCTCAGTGAGAACCATGTTGAACCCTCATTCCTGAAGTTTTCTAGAATTTTGTTAAGTGGGGCAGGTTGAAGGAAGCCACGTCAGATTTCCAAAACTAAAACAGAAACCAGTGTTTGTGTTGTCAACTGTTGAACAAGGTTATCTGGACCCATGAAGACCAGAGACCCCCACACCAAATCCAAATGTTTCTGTGAGGATTCATCTCAGGTTCTGTTTGTCTTTGACAGGTGAATGAGATCTATCAGGACCATTCTCTGGGGGTCAACATGAACGTAGTCCTGGTCAGAATCATCCTGCTGTCTGCAACAAAGGTACTGAAGTGACACAGTATAGGGTCAGCACAGGGTTCTTATGGATTGTTTGTGATGCTTACTGCTGAAAACAAGCTGTTGATTTTATCTGAGAAAGTCTAMGACATTAGACCTCCATCTTACCTTGAGATGACAGAGTTGATGATCACTTACTTTAGGGTATAAACCTAAAAACTTGACATACAGAAGATTTCTAAAAGTCTACCCCAAACAAAGCACAAGGAATGATAACCAGTAACAACATTTTCTTTTGTCTCAGTCCCAGGAGCTGATCTCTTTTGGGAATCCTCAGAAGAGTTTGGAGAATGTTTGTGGGTGGTCTTATCTCCAGCACAACGAGCAAAGCCCCACTGAGCAGCATGATCATACCATCTACCTGACCAGGCAGAGATTTGGCCCCTTAGGCATGCAGGGTACTTTTCATTATGTTATGATTAATATTGATTTGAAATGCTGACAAAAGCCAGCTCTTACTATTGTAGAATAGAGTACTCTGAGCTACCAGGCAGTATCCTCTGAGTCTGAACTCCACAAGGAACACACAGAGCAGAACCTTTAAAAAGACTTGAATTTCTCCTTGATTATGGGTTATTATTTAAGGTTCACATGGCTGATTTGGTATTAAAACTGAAGGTGAAGGTGGAATTTCTTACATTTTTAAAAACCACAGATGTGGGTAAAATACTTGTTTCTTCCTGTATTGTTACTTGTTTTGATCCCTGTGTTCTGACGTGTAACCAGGACTGTACCTGGTTAAAAAAAGGTGATGATGACAGATTAATACCGATAATAAGGCAGGAGTTTGACCTCTGATGATACCAATGACCTTTACCTGTGACCCTGTGATTTTTCTTTGTAGGTTACGCTCCAGTTACAGGAATGTGTCAGCTTCATCGGAGTTGTGTCCTCGTTCTGGAAGATGGATTTTCCTCAGCTTTTGTAGCTGCACATGAAACAGGACATGTGTGAGATACAGGAACAACTCATATGAACACAGAACATTTTATGAGCTATTTATTTCACACCAACACTGGAACTTAGAAACTAATGTTGGCAGAAAAATAAACATGCTCACATGTCTTCTTAAGATTAATAATACACAGACATGTCCTTGTGATGGGGAACGGTTTCCATTCTGTCTAATACTCTGTCTGTCTCAAGGTTAGGGATGGAGCATGATGGTGAGGCCAATGATTGTGCTGATGATGTGCCTTTGGGCAGCATTATGTCTCCGAGGGTCCAAGCCAACTTCTATCGATACCACTGGTCCAGGTGCAGCTGGAGCGAGCTGCACAGGTACCTGAAGTGAGTAACAGAAAACATATGGCTGTACTGACAGGTCCTGATGGTGGACACAGGGAACACTGAGCAAGGTACCACAGAGTAGATCACAGCTAAGTTCTTCCTTCTACAGCACCTACGACTGTCTCCGTGATGACCCCTTCAACCACGAATGGCCCGATCAGCCGCAGTTACCTGGTTTTCACTACTCCATGGACCAACAGTGCCGCTTTGATTTCGGACCTGGGTACAGCCTGTGTACTACTGTAAGTCTGTCTGAGGACTGTCTGTTTACTCATCTGTTTATCCATCTGTTTATCCATCAGTTTATCCATCCATCCATCCATCTATTATCCATCCATCCATCCATCCACCATCCATCCCTCCATCCATCCATCTATCCATCTATTATCCATCCATCCATCCATCCATCTATCTGTTATCCATCCATCTATTATCCATCTATCCATCCATCTCGGAGGAGTAAGACACTTTTTCCTTCTCTCCTGCCCTTCCTTATCTTCCCTGCTTTGCTGCTTGAAGCCTTCTCTACGTTTTCATCTGAAACCGAAAATTATAGATTTATTTTTATGGATTTGGTTAGCTGGTCTCTTAAAAAAATTTTTGGAACAATTTTTTCTTCCATGGGAGGACATGTCAAAGGTGGGACCCCTGTTCTGGATATATATCTGGATTCTGATCACTGGATTCTACAGATTGGCTTGGTGGTCTCCTAGTGGTCTACAAAACAGTCCCAGTGGCTATTCAGGCCACTTCCTGGCTGCCTGACCATTATGGAGCTTTCAGCACTCAGACTTTGGCCTTGTGCGAGTTGGGACAAGGTCTGCAAGCGTTTCTGCTGAGGGTCGCGGGCCGACTGCGGTCCCTGGACTTTGCTGGCCAGATGGAATTGATCTTGGAGAAGCTGAGAGCTCTACCCCCTACGTGGCCTTGAAGGGCTGTGGATCTAATTCCTCCTGGTTTTTACGTCGACTTGCGCCCCCTATAGACAGTAGAGGCTGGTGATAAAACCCAGTCTTTTTTGGATCTCAGACTTCACAGTAGATTCATCATTCAAAGCTTAAATGGCTGAMAGAGAGTTGGACTTTACCTGACTGAAGTCTTGTTTTCACAACTTTACACTTTTTACACAATGTTCAAGCCACATGCTGCAGGCTTAGTCACACATGTAAATCAGGCAAGGAAAGAAAATATAAAGCAACACAATATAAAGTGAGTAAAGTCATAAGAACAGCCAAGAGGCAGTACTTCTTTAAAAATTACGAACAAAAACCTGAAACTAGTGTTCAGCAAAACTAAAGTGCAAGCACAAGTCTTTAGGTCAGAAGATGTTTTCAATCTGTTCAAAGTTCAGACAAGATTTGAACCAGATGGAAAAGAATCTGAGAGAAAGCATGAAGAAACCAGATGAAGCAGCGTCCATGTGAAGAACCCTGAATCATTTCAGCTCTAAATCCTGGGAACATTTTACAGTCAGAAGTGATTAATCTGATCCAATCAGYTCATTTAATCAGCCTTTTTTAAATGTTTCATCTGGATTCCTCACTGACAACATCAGAAGGATCTGGTTCTGGTTGATGGGTTCTACTTCATTTGTTACAAAGGACTTAAGTACCAATGGACATGCAGGACAAGCCTCAGGTCTAACTGTACCAGAGAACTTAGACAGACCTGCAGGACAAGTCTCAGGTCTAACTGTACCAGAGAACTTAAAGACAGACCTGCAGGACAAGCCTCAGGTCTAACTGTACCAGAGAACTTAAAGACAGACCTGCAGGACAAGC